ATTCTGTAAAGTTAGCAAAATATACATTTTCTAAAATAATGCGCAAAGTTTATCAGAATATTCAAAGAATAATTGACTTAATACATGGATTTTTTTTAAATAGTTTTTTTTTCTGTTTCTTGCATAAATTGTTCAAGTTTTTTTTATTTCCTTTATAATTCATTAAATATAATTAAAATAAAATTTTAATTTTTGTCAGCACATACAGGTGTTCTCACCTAAGTGCTTGTTATTATATAATTGGTTTCCATTATTGTACTTTATTGTAACTTATTTATTATTGTAACCTGACAAACCGGGCCCTTACCTAGTTTTCCAAGTACCCTTAACCTTGGCCTAAATTTCGTCTAGTGGATCCCCACGAAGTGATGTTAAAACCCCCAGCATTACGTTTAGAGTTCAATGTAGCTGTAATGGAGGAAGAACAAAGGAAACACCGAGATTAATTTGGAATACTGTTTATTTAACATCTATTCTTTTGTACAGCCGGACATTTAGATTATGTGCCGTTTTTAGGCTTAACATTATGTTTATGTAGGCTTTTCAATGTGTCATTTCTAACCTCAGAGCTTTTAGTTCCCATAAAAGGGTAAAATAAAAGTCGGAAGTACTTTGGTATATTTGTTAGTCTCCTAATATACAATCACACGTTTTCACGGAAATACTGAGTTACGCATTGTCTAATAAAAGAGAGTACAGCGGTAGCACGGGGAGTTCGGTGAGATATAATAAAATATTGCGTCGAATTGAGAACCTCCTCCTTTTTTGAAGTCGGTTAAAATTATTATTGCTAATATGTGTAAAAACCGGAGTGTAGATTTACCTCACCGTGCGTCACGCCTTTCTCTAATATTCCAATGCCGTAATGTACTGACATACTTAGTTCTGTATTGAAAACACTGAACGGTCGATCGGAGAACACCTGATATAAAGGGGGATGCCCGTCAGGCCCACTTTTGGGGTATCTCAGTAGATATCCATCCAAGCCTCTATCAGGATTTAATTTACATAGCCGCAAGGGAAATACCATTTTTAGGCCCTTACTATTGAGGTCCCTGGCGGTATATGGTGGCCTAAGGCGTCTTTTTCGGCACGATTCTCTTCTGCTCTGTCGATTGACAAATCAGTGTGATTAATCACAGTTCTGAGGATACGTTAGCTAGTCCACCTATTTATTCTAAATAAATAACAAACATACCGACTACTTCCTCGTAATGTCCCGCTAAAGATATGTGGATATGTACAAATAAATACGACCCTCCTCAATATTCATGATTCTACCCGCCGCTGTACATGTCTCCTTTTTCCCGAAAAATCGATACACAAAACTAATACTCCTTACGGCTAAAATGACACATTTGTCTACCCAATTTTGTTAGACAAAGAACGACAGAAAACATATTTTTTTAACCGCAAACTAACTTTTAAATATATACAAATCAAGGCATTTACCCTACTAATCTACATCTGTTTGCCATTTAAAAGTAAAACCGAAAGTGCTTTTATCTTTACTGAAAGGGGCAGGTACTGCTTACAGACAACCGAAACTTTACAATTCGGCCCTTTGGCCATAAATCTAAATGACTTAATTTATTACTTGAGATTATTGACCGACCTAACAACAATTAATATTTATGACAACAACATCACTATCGATTCTCTAAATAACATAATTTAGCACAATATAAAAACCCTATAATTTTTCCCACAATAAACGTTTACCAATGAATACCAAAAATATGACAATAACACACAGACGCGAATTTTCCCGCTAATGAATATAAAAGTAATAAAGTGATACCTGTAACCTCTAATGTTTGTCTAAATTCTCCCCCGGAATATCTGAATATTAAATACTAGTTTGATTACTTTAATAGTGCCATTATCGTTTGAATTCTACGTAAAAAAAACCTTACAGAAAAAAGTATACCGCTGATAAAAGGTCTACCGGGCATAAGTTCGTCGGGTCAGCCTGAAGGGTGACGAAATTCACTACGAACGTCGCCTAGAGTAGTACTTTTAATCATTTAGTAACATTTTATAATGTTGAATCGGAGATACAAAATATCTGGCGTTTAACTAGACTAGCGTGGTCTCACCAGTATCAGTTACGCCAATATTTTATTCGCTCGGTAGATACAACCTTACAAAACAGTTCTAGGAGCGAAATCTGGTTCTATTCAACGTGTATCTGCTTGGTCAACCTGGCTATATATCTCCTTTTACTTATATATAAAATATCAGAAAAAGGAGGTCATCCTGAGGGCAACTGGATATCTATGCAGAAGCCGTCGTTTATAGAAACTAATTTCTCTACTCCGTCGTTATTTCCGTTGTCAAAATATAACAAAAACGCGGCCACCGTAAGGGTAGCGATATCTCTTTTTAATTATATTTGAATAATATAAAGAAAAAGGAGTCACCGTGGCGGTAACGTGGATATTTGCGTTTTTTTGTTAACTCGACTCGGTGAAGAAGAAAAAACTAATCCCCCAGTCCTCAAAAACCCCGGTATGTATACTTAAATTTCCCATATATGCAAATGTATCAGACAGAGAACGACTGTGACTTCGGTGTATAAAGACTATAAAGCCTTGTATTAATTCCTGAATATAGCCCTATCGGTTACATCTGTTTTGTTCTAGCGACCGTTAGAGTTTACGCGTAGATATTTCTTTTCCCAGAAGTAATTAAACGGTGCCTACTAGGCGGGATACGCTGGGATGTTTGAATTCGAAATAAAAATTTGAATATAATATGTAATATATAGGAATTATTTAAATTAATTATCAACCCCCGGTTGTCGGATTTCACTATTAAACTTATATTGCTGAAGATATTAGTGTACCTATGTCCTACCTTATAAACGAGTCTTTTTTATGTGGTGACTATCCTAGCATATTAAAAAAACCAAAATCCATTCCTATATATAAAAATAAAGGGTCTGTAAATGACATGGCAAACTTAGGAACATCTGCATTCAAAGTCAACTGGCTAAAATATTTAAAATGGCCTATAATATAACAGGTTCATTAAATTTCTAGAACATATTAAACTTTTGTGTAAATTTCAACATGGTTTTGGCAGAAATAAGGCAACATTTAGTGTTATAGGGGAGTTATGCGATTTTGTTTACACATCTTTAAGTAACAAGGAATTAAATATTACCTTATACTTCGACCTCTCACGAGTCTTTGGCTTAATTGACCATTGACTGCTAGTAGATAAATTGTACTGAATAGATATAAGGGGCCCGCCAAATAAGTGGATACAGACATATTGAAACAACCGTGAACAAGTTGTAACCATCGGATGCAGTAAATTAAATAGCAGATGACGCAACTTTTGGAACATCAGCAAAAATGCATCTGAACTTCAATATAATGCTAATAGTGCTGCACATGAATTTTATAGTTATTGTATTTCACAAGGCTTAAATGTTAATGTAAAAAATTTTAAATCATGATCTGTCTATCAAAAAATATAATAAACAACTTCAGCTATCTCGTTAAACTAAATCATCAATCATTGATACAAACAAATTCGAGCAAATTCTTAGGTCTAATTCTGGACAGCAGTTAAAAAACACTGTAAATCCCGATATTTTAAAATTAACATATTTTGGTTTGGTTGAATCAATTATCTCATACGGTCTAATTTTTTGGGGCTGCTCAGCTCATCTGGAGCGAACTTTCTGTGTACAAAAAAAAGTTACAAGATGCATGGCTGGGGTTTCAAGAACAAATAGCTGCAAACAACGTTTTCATGACTTTAAAATCCTAACACTTCCATCTTTGTATATATACTTACTAATACTTAATATAAAAAAACAGGAATTCCAACTATCAGATTATAGACACTCACACAATTATAACACACGCAATTACAAATATCTACAGCAGTCTTTCTATAGACTCTCAGTTGGACAGAATTCCGAAATCTACAGAGGTGTTGCATGTTTTAATAGAAATACTGAAGTCAGTGGTAATGAAAAAATCTTTAATGTATTCAAAAATAAGCTTTATGCATATCTTTCGTCCAAAACATATTATTCCTATGCAGAATTTATGAATGATACTCGGTGATCCGTAATGGTATCTCTTTATTATAAATGTTGTCTAATGTTTTTGCCCTATTGTATACTATTTTTAATTTGTACTTTATTTTAAACTCAATTTTAGCATGTTTCTACTTTTTAAAATTGTATGTGTTGACAAGGCTAATAGGTCTTATATGTTTATACATTTTTTAACCTTTTTAAAACATTGTAAATATGTATAATGTGTATGTCTCAAAGACGAATAAATATTATTATATATTTAAAATTCTAAAATTACATGCCTGAAATAATAACTAAATACTTATTCCATTAACAACTTTGTTTAACTCATTTAATGTTGGATCAAGAACTAGGAATAGACTGTTGTTTTTTTTTTTTAATTAGGTGTTATCGGCATCGACTGCTAAGGTCATTAGCCTCGTGTTCTGTGTAGGCTATGAAAATGAGCACATCTTAAAAATAGCTCACAATTGCAAATTTATTTAGAGATATTTTTTTGTATTAAGAAATTCCCAGAAAGATTTCATACCGAAAAGATTAAAAATTAACTATTTTCACGGTTCACAAAGGTACTGTTAAATCTGCAATAAATGCGACATTGGTTTACATTGATATACTGATATACCTGTCTTTGTTTATTTACTGGAACTAGCCTGATACATACAGGAAGGATATTCACAACTGCATCATGCTAGGTAACAAAATCAGCTTGAAATTTTTATAAATTCTTTCGAATTAATTATTAGATATTTATTTAATCATAACTAATTGAACTGGGTCGCTATACATATGAAATAAACAATTAAATGCTTAATAATCACTAGTACTGATTTACAAAAATAAATCTTAAGTTTATTTCCTTGAAATGTCCCTGTTCAAATAGTTCAATTTCCAATACACTGTGCTTCCTATCTAACATATTTGGATCTATTTTCATTAGGTTACAAAAGGATTTGGATGCTGCAAGATCAGGGACAGGTTTTTATGTAGACAAGGAAAACTACCAAAAAATGTTGGACGCCATATCTGCTGTAACAGGTGAAACTATTAGCGCTGATGAATTAACAGCACGAAAAGCAGAACGAATCAAAAATTTAGGTAGTAATTAAATAATTATCTGATAATCTTTCATCATTCATCACTTTCTAATATTTTAGAGGACCTAATGTATGCTAAATTACGACAATTCGAAGAAACGGTTGAACAGTGCAAAAAACACGAGCAAGAATTAGAAACGGCAAGGGCCACAATGAAAGAACAAGATGAAAACTTAGAACAAGAAAAGTTTCTTTCGAAATGGTATGAAAATCAAACATCGGAAAAGTTAGCTGAAGCGCAGAGATTTTTGAACGTAACAAAAACGCTGCACAGTGAAAAACAAATTTTATTGGCTAAATTGGAGCATCAATTCAGTATTAACGTTTCGAATGAAATGGTGACGCACAAAGCGGTTACAGAAGTGACAAATATGATAGATAAATTTGGATGTGAAGAAACCAGAAAAATAAAAGTTTCTGAAGAAAAAGTTAGGGACGAATTTAAAAAAAGTGTTTTAGATCTTCATAAAGATTTATCGAATTCCTCTAGTACGATAAAGGAATTGTCGGAGCAGTGCGAATCTAGAGCTAGGAAAGAAAAAAACGGATTTTCAGTAAAAAATTGCATTTTGACGAAAACGAATGACTATCTTGACGCCATTAGAAAAAAAACTCTCGTGTTTGAAGGGGTATTAGGTGAATACGAAAAGCAGCTAAATTTTCTAAAATTGGAAGTTCCTAAAATGGCAAAAATTTATAGAAAAAATACGGAAATGGTAAGTACGTCATGTAGATAAAAAATCTGATGTGTCCAACACATGACTTTCATATCTAGTTATTACAGGTATTAGATTTGTAATAGGAAAAGGACATTCACAAATAAAACTACAATATAAATTTAAATACTACCAAAGAGCTTCCTGTTTATTATATCGCAACAGCGAATGTCTTATAACTAACTTATTAATATTTCTATATCGGAGAATCTGCATTTATGCTTTATCAGCAGTTTCAGTTTTAAAAGCCAGCATTTTTTGAATGTTAAAATTCGTTTAAGGCATTGCCATAATTATTATTTCTTATTTTGATATCTACTTAATAAATTATTGGCAGTACATATATCTGGTCGTGTACATAACATTACATACATTAAACAATCTAATAAATTGCAAGGGTTGAGAACAATATATCGACAGACCCTAAATCATTTTGGCGCTTTGCTAAAGATAAATCAAGGGGTGAATTTCGGAATGAAATGTATCTAAATAATAAAATTAGTAATAATGGCTGTGATACTGTAAATTTATTTGCTGATAATTTATCTACAGTTTATGTCAAGACTGATTGTAATGTACCTGTATTAAACTATAAGAAAACCATTAATGTAAATAATGTAAAAGTGACCTTGAGTGAAATTTTTTCTAAAATTTCTCAATTAAAAGACAGTTTATCTTGTGGTCCAGATGGAGTTCCATCTTACTTTTTAAAGAGGTGTGTCTGTACTGTTAGTACTCCTATTTCTATTATTTACAATATTTCACTTGATTCAGGAGTATTTCCGAATTTTTGGAAATACAGTTTTATGACCAATTTATAAATCGGGATGTAATCGTGACATTAAAAATTACAGAGGAATATGTTTGCAATGTAACATTCCAAAAATTTTCGATTCACTCATTACAGAATATTTGTCATGGGAATGTAAAGGGCTAATAATTGATCAACAACATGGTTTTTCACAAGGAAAATCTACAGTAACTGCCTTGTTAAGTTATCAAAATGAAATATTGAGTGCTTTTGAAGGGGGGTATCAAGTACATTCTGTCTATACTGACTTCTCAAAAGCATTCGATAGAGTTAACCATGAATTGTTGATCGCCAAGTTGAGCTCATATGGTATCAATGGTAAACTTTTAAATTTGCTATCTAGTTTTTTACTTGGTAGGTATCAGTGGGTCAAAATTGGGAATGACATTTCTTATTTGATTGAAGTATTGTCTGGTGTTCCCCAAGGATCCCATTGTGGTCCGCTTCTTTTTAATTTATTTGTAAATGACATTGCATGTTGTATAAAACAGTCTCAGTTCCTACTATTTGCAGATGATTTAAAAATCTTTAAAATTGTTGAAAGTATATCTGATTGTTTTGATTTACAGACTGATATTAACAACCTAGCATTGTGGTGTAATGTAAATTGTATGAATTTGAATTTAAGTAAATGTTTTTATATTAAGTTTAATAGGTGCCATACTAATATAGACTATACTTTTTGTATCAATTCATTAGATCCTGAATTGGTGACCCAAATAAAGGACCTTGGCGTAATGTTTGATGAAAAACTTACTTTTTCAGAACACATTACAATGATATCATTAAAAGCCGGAAAGTTGTTGGGTTATATACAAAGAATCTCTAATGGTCTCTCAATAAATTCTTTTAAAATTCTTTACTGCACTCTTGTTCGTTCTAATATGGAATATGCATCTGTTGTCTGGAACCCTTATTATTGCATTCACATTAATAGACTTGAAACGGTTCAACATAAGTTTCGGAGATGCTCAGCATATAAATTAGGAGTGCGTATAAATAATTACGATTATGATTATGCTAACCTATGTTCCAGATTAGAAATAACAACTTTGCAGAACTGGAGAACTCAATTAGATCTATGCTTCCTATTCAAACTTTTGTGTGGGTCAATATATTCTCCTGATATTTTATTAAAAATTGGTCTTAAAATTAATAGTGCAACCAGAGCTAATGAAACTTTTTTTTATTAGATACCATAGACAAAATTACGGCTTTTATAGTCCATCAACACGATTGGTTAGGAGTGCTAACAGTATAGAAATAGACTTGGATTTTTTTGGTTCCTCATATCCTTCATTTAAAAGAAGTATTGCTAACCACTTTCTTAATGACACTTGAAAGTACTGTTATTAAGGCAGACAATAACAGTACTTTCAAGTGTCATTAAGAAAGTGGTTAGCAATACTTCTTTTAATCAAATGTTTTAATCATGTGTTTTAATCATATGTTTTAATCATATGTTTTAATCATATGTTTTAATCAAATGTTTTACATGATACAATTTTTGATGTTGTTTTTTATTGTAAAATGGGGTTTTCCCGTAAATAAATAAATTTCGACAGGGTGCTTCAATATTTATATCAGAATTTAAGTCAGCATAATTTAATTTGTTTGGCAATGGCGTATTTACTGACTTGCAATCGGCCTTATTAAATTTATTTAAAACTGTTTTCAAATATGAACTTTGATCTAAAGTAATTTTTCTTTATTTCGGTCCACTCTAATGCCTAGAAACAGTTTTAATTTTTGCATATCTTCCATACTAAACTGATTCCTCAAATAATTTTTAAAACTTATTAAAGTATTTTTATCAGCTGTGGCTATTAACCCGTTCACTGCCAGAGGACGCTTTAAAGCGTCCGCGTTACCTGCGCATGAGTACCGCTGGCGCTTTAAAGCGCCCACGACCACCTGTTGGTAAATGCGTAGTAAGTAGGACTTCCGTACTTAGATGACTTCAGGGTTAAACTGATCGGCAGTGAACGTGTTAACAGATCGTCGACATATAATATTACGTAGATATTTTTATTGATGTGGCCTCTATTTAAAAAAATATAAACAACGGTCTACTTCAGAGTTTTTAAAGTCATGTCTTTTTAATATTTCGTCAAAACGAATAAACCAACATCTTGTTGACTGTTTTAAGCCATATAATGATTTATTTAACTTACTCACTTTATTTTGTTTAGCTTTAAAACCATCCGGTATATGCATATAAATTTCTTCTGTCAAAATACCATTAAGATATTCGAGCTACGGGCGCAAACGTCTCATCATAATCTAATAAATATTGCTGACTAAAACCTCGGGCAACTAATCTAGCTTTATATCTTTGTGGATTACCATAAGCATTATTTTTAATGGTAAGTGATCAATAGTGATCAATATGTTTATTGTCAAAGCTACAAGAACTTATAGACAAACACTTATAAATATAATTATTATGTAGTACTAACAATTACATGCATAAAAATTAAAAAATTGTATAAAAACGTTATATATAAAATTAGAGGTTAATTACAAATACAAATACGTAACACAACATCGATAAAATTATATAAATACAAAAACATGTACGTTCAAACAGTCACAACGATTTAAGAGTCATTGTAAAATTCCGTCAAAGCATAATATGCTTTTGTCATCAACATATCTTGTTCGAAAACCAATCAAAGGTGTTCGAACAAGTTAAAGCATCACCCTATAATAAAAATCAATATTGTCCAATTTATTTAAAACATTTTATAATAATCAACTTATCTGAAAGCCGCCCCTGTGCACAAAGCTAACAATCTATTTTTAGAAATTACAAAGCAGTCTTCAACAAAACCAAAGCTCACAATCTATTTTTAGAAATTACTAAACAGTCTTACGACGAAAAACATTATTCTTCTGTTCATAGAGAAAGACAAAACTAGAAAACGTTAAATAGCTCTCTTGCACTCATTGGTAAAACCGATATCGATGTGAGACACGGTCAGTTCAACCCCTCCATAAGTGCAAGAGACGCTTAGCAACAGTCGACTATATAACCGGCATATGTCAGAAAATAAGCCATTGCATTCGCACCTTGCACCAGTGCATTATATCGCGTTGCTTTCATCCGTTTATTCAACACTGCTACCATGCTACGAGCTGGGGCAAAAATAATTTACATTAATTTACTAATTTACTAAATACTACATAAAAAGAAACTTGAACTTGCTAATGCCTTAATATCATTATCATCATCATCATTGTAACTACATATACTATAAGTTAAATACATGTAAATAAAGCTGTGAATAAAACCAAACATAAGAAAATTTGAGTGTAATTTCCACGACTACTTCAAGCAAGTCCACTGCTTTGGGTAAATACACGACGGAGGTGAGAGGTCTACGAGCAGAAAGCTGAGGCAGATCTTCGCCCCCCGACATATCTCTAAGCAGTATTTTAAATGTTGTGACCGTTTCTGTCGATTTAATATCATTTGGCAACTTATTGTACATTTTAATCCCATTATAAATGAAAGAGCCCCTTATCAGTTCAGATTTGGGTATGGGCAACCGCAGGTTGTCAACTTGTCGCGTTAGCTGAGCGTTAGTATTGGCATAGTTCGATTTGTTTTTATATATAATACAAGTGGTTTCAAGAATGAACAACGATGTTAATGTTAAAATTTCATGTCTAATAAAATGTGGCTGACATGACTCAAGCTTGTTCATTCCACATAAAAATCGTATTGCTCTCTTTTGCAGACAAAAAACAGTATTGAATAATTCGCGGCTGCAACCTCCCCAAAATGCAATTCCATATCTCAAATGGGACTCAACTAGGGCGTAATACACACTTTTTGCTGCCTTAAAACCTAGTTCTTTTGCCACAGTTCTGACTGCAAAACATCCAGAAGAAAGTTTTCTGTTTAGCAATTCTATATGGTTTCTAAATTTCAAATTATTATCTAAATTAATTCCCAGAAATTTTATTGTGTCAGTACATTCAATAATATGACTTCCCAACTGAATATTTGGTAGGGAACATTTAAGGGTTAGCATTTTAGTTTTTCCCATATTAAGACGCAAATAGTTGGCATCGCACCATGCTTTGATTTTCTTAATGTCACAAGATATGGTGTTGTATAGGACAGAAGTGTCATTGCTGTGCCATAAAATCGAAGTATCATCTGCAAATAGAGTGAAAGTAC